AAAACTGAGGATAGATAGATTGATAGATAGATCATAAACACATAGATAGATTCTTGATAGATAGATAGATAGAAGATAGAGTAGATAGATACATAAACATTACGATAGATAGAAAGATAGATAGATAGATAGATAGATAGATAAACATAGATAGATAGATACATAAACATTACGATAGATAGATAGATAGATAGATAGATAGATAGATAGATAGATAGATAAACATTGCCATAGATACATAAACATTACGATAGATAGATAGATAGATAGATAGATAGATAGATAGATAGATAGATAAACATTGGCATAGATACATAAACATTACGATAGATAGATAGATCAGGCTGAAGCAGGTAGATACAAACATTCCGACAGAAGGATAGAAAGTTGGATGTAAATATAAATTTACTTGATCTCATAGAGCTATTGCATTTAAATGCATTTCTAATGATTTTATTATTGAAATCCACTTTAAATAATCTATAAATGCTTTGGGAATGGAATGATTTTACTGGAAAAATGCTTTTAAAATCGGGACGGAAAGGATTAATGCAAACGTCACTAAGAGTAAAATTCTCATTTGTTATTATTAAATATTTATACCTACTACGCTAGCAATATTATCACGAGTTTTCAAGAACGTGCTAAAACGTCAATGTATATTTATTTGTATTTATACAGCTCTTAATGAAAACTGTCATTTTGTCTTCGTCAATAAGCGAACATCAATGTCGATAAATATATAAAATAACACAACATCGACGCGGTATTAGCTTGAAAATTTTTAGCCGAACTAGAATGAATTGATCTAATGTCGAAGCTTGCTTCTCAGGTGTCTGTCTCTGCAGGCTATCGATCATTTGGGCAAGTGTCAAAAGGAATGGTATTTATAAACAATGTGCATGTTGACAGCAGCTACTAACGAGGTAAAAGAAATTACGGACAGTCTCGTCTGTCAATATCCCGTCGTCGATTAGGATTTAACCAGGGTTTTCTCTTGAAATCACTTTTTGCTAGATAGATGAACAGACATGAAAAGTAATTGTTCTCTTTTTTATATTCAAACCCAGTAAAAACCGTCATCAATTAAGAGAAGAAAAAAAGTAGATTGGATTACGGCTTACGGCTATATCACGTTGAAACACGGGTTCTCGTACGATCATCGAAGTTAAGCAAACTCGAGCCTGGTCAGCACTTAAATGAGTGACCGCTTGTAAATATCAATGGTCGCAAACTTGGATGTGTGGGTAGTACAATGGGCTCACCGCTATATTACGTTGAAACACCGATTTTCTTACGATAAGAGAAGTTAAGCAAACTCGAGCCTGGTCAGTACTTTGGGATGAGTGACCGCTTGAAAATATCAATGGTCGCAAACTTGGATGTATGGGTAGTACAATGGGCTCACCTTTATATCACGTTGAAACACCGATTTTCTTACGATAAAGAAGTTAAGCAAACTCGAGCCTGGTAAGTACTTAGATGAGTGACCGCTTGAAAATATCAATGGTCGCAAACTTAGATATATGGGTAGTACAATGGGCTCACGGCTATATCACGTTGAAACACCGATTTTCTTACGATAAGAGAAGTTAAGCAAACTCGAGCCTGGTCAGTACTTAGATGAGGACCGCTTGAAAATATCAATGGTCGCAAACTTGGATATGCGGGTAGTACAATGGGCTCACCGCTATATTACGTTAAAACACCGATTTTCTTACGATCAAAGAGCCTGGTCAGTAAGATGAGGAGCTTGAAAAATCAATGGTCGCAAACCTGGATATCGGGTAGTACAATATAAATACGTTAAAACCGCTGATCAGAAATACCATGGGCTGCAAGCTCTGATGTGTATATAAAAGAAATACCATGGGCTTGATGTGCTAAGTTACAATGGCCTTACGGCTATATCACGTTGAAACACCGATTTTCTATACAATCACCGAAGTTAAGCAATCTGGAGCTTGGTCAGTATCTAAATTTATGACCGCTTGGAAATACCGGCGGCTGTAAACTTGGATGTGCTGGTGGTAAATGGGCTTACGGCCGTATCACGTTTAAACACCGATTCTCTTACGATCACCGAAGTTGGGCAACCCGAGCCTGGTTAGCATCTAGATGGATAACCGCTTGGCAATTCAGGGGTGGAAGCTTGGGTATATCGGGTGGTGTAACGGATAGCCGCCTGGAATGAGAAATCGGAAAACTGAGTTTGAATTCCAGTCTAGTTCGTTACATTTAACTACGCACAAAATGTTTAGCATTATTTATATTCTTTTTTATCAGATGAATCTATAGCCACAGTAGTCTCTCGTGAGTTTATCTTGACTATTGTATGACGTACACCATTGTAAAAATTAATTGAAACAACCGCTTTATTTTCCTTTCATTCACCATATAGTCAGTTTTAGACCCACTGGAGTGATAGGGTGCAATCGATTTCTATTTTTTCCTAAGGTTAGTTGGTGAAGTGGTGTGCAGTAATATGAATCTATTTTCGGGGTATATGATGAAATTTGTTTGGCCTTGAAAAATATTGCATCATCCGTGATTGCATCAGATTTTTATCACGCCCGGATACTATTGTCTCGACTGTTGATTAGTTGTCCTACAGCCATTGTCTGCGATAGACGCTACTCCAAGGAAGCGTACAAAAATTGTAACGCTCCATAAACACATTGGCAAGCCTTAACTATGAGTCAATCAAAGTACTATATACAAGCCCGGAAACTCTCTGATTTAAATCCAATCGAGAATCTGTGGTCAATTTGCAAGGAACGACTTCGTGGAATGGACATATAAAGTACTAACATGTGCACTGGGTCATGTTTCATTATAAAAAAATCCGAAAAAAATTAAATAATAACGGAATTATTCGTTTTGTTTCAATTAATTTACACAAGGGTGTGTGTGATCATAGCCCTCTACATCTTCCTGTATAATTAATTTACACAAGGGTGTATGTGTCGGGTGTAGAATAGTGTCTTAAACAAACATGAAGATAATGGGACAAAGGAGAAACGCTTTTTTTTTTAACGACGTTTCGCCAACGTTTATTAGGTCAGAATGAATGTGCTTAAGACAATAAATTAAATTACATTATCAGATCCGATGAACAGTAAGTGCTTTGTTTTATTTTATTTTATTAGCGCTGTTGGCTTTTCTTGAATTTTAAGTTAAACCGTTCTCAGTAGACATCTGTGTTTTCTCTATTAGATAAAAAATTTTTTTTACAAAAAGACTATATGAGCCTCGCAAATATATACTGCATAACAATTTTTTTAAGTTTCTGAGTTTTTCACACAGCAGTCGAGATTATCCCAAAAGAAAAATAGCCAAAAAAAAAAAAAAAAAAAGAATGGATGACAGACGAAATTCTCGACACGATGAAAAAGTGACAAAAAGCAACCTGGTCCTTGATCAGTACTTAAATTATGTGACCGCTTGGAAATAGCAGGCGCTGTAGGCTTTGATGTGCTGGTGATACCATGGGCTTACGGCCATATCACGTTGAAACACCGATTCTCTTACGATCACCGAAGTTAAGAAACCTCAAGTCTGGTTAGTACCTAGATGGGTAACCGTTTGGTAAATCCAGGGGCTATAAACAAACATTAAGATAATGTTTTTAACGACTTGTTTCGCCAACGTTTATTAGGTCGGAATAAAAGATAGTGAAAATGCTTAAGACGGGTAATATATTAAATTATCTTATAAGACCCAATGACCAGTAAGTGTTTTGTTTTATTTTATTTTATTAGAGCTGTTGGCATCTGTTGGGTTTTAAATTAAACCACTCAAGCATATATCTGTATTTTTTCTATTAGTTTGTATACTGCATTGTGTAGCTATTGCTTTTGCGATCATCATCGGTGATACTGTGTAAGGTCCTGGTCTTAGGTTTATTATCAAAAATTGTGAGATTACACACTCGTAATATGTTAAATAATAGTTTCAGATTATTATTTTTTAGTGGCAGTGTATTTGGCTCAGACCTTCTGAGGCTGACCTTAAGGTTTGATGGTAGATAAAATAGAGATGTCGATTTTCATTGGCTGAGCCGAACGTGGGAATGTTAGAGTTAGAAAGTATTTTCAGGGAGTTAAGTTTTACACGTGGTTATTTCGCGTCTCAGGGAAACTTGTTCCCCAGTGGCGGGGAGAGGGCTGACAGAGCGACCTGACTGGCTAGTTAAAAAATGTACCCGTCGACGTGTTTAATAAAATAGATAAGTTTAAAATCTCTTTTGTTGAAGTTTTCATTTTATCTCCGAGCTAAAAACTAACTAGCGATCATCCGGCCGAGAGAAGAAAGAGAGGGAGACAAATTTATTATGATCGCCTCGAGACCGTCACCCAGCACCCACTTCGAACAAGGAAGAGTATAAATTTTGCTTATTTGGCGCAGTGATATTGCAGTGTATGCTGGACAATCTCCCACAGATGAGTAAAGAATTAGAGACAACAGTAACGTGGCTTCAGAAGGATACTGGAAATTTCATGGACGGGTCTAATAAGCAACAAGGAAGACTTTAGAAAATTGCAACAAAAAGAAAACTTATGCCCAGAAATCAGGCAAAGAGAGCTTCAATTACTTGGACACCTGCTAAGTGTTATATAATAGTTTCAGACTATTATTTTTTTAGTGGCAGTGTATTTGGCTCAGTCCTTCTTAGGCTGACGTGGGGTCAGCTGGTAGACATAATAGGGATGTCGATTTTGATTGGCTGATCCGAACGTGGGAATGTTAGAGTTAGTGTTTTCACTGAGTTATTTTTTCCCGTCGAAGAATGCAGACGTGTTAATTCCGTGGTTGAAACTGCTGCCCAGTGGGGTGGGCTAGCAACCACACTGGCTAGTTAGAAGATGTACACGTCGACGTCTTTAATAAAATAGATAAGTTTTCAAATCCCTTTTATTTGAAGTTTTCATTTTATCTCCGAACTAAAACCAACTAACAATCACCCGGCCGAAAGATGACAGAAAGAAAGAAAGCAACATATGAGTAAATCAAGACCAATATGGCAGAGAATTTTTTTAATCAATTCACCTTAAACATAACAGGAGTGCCACTAGTACACAGAGGATTACAGAGAGTGAAAGTCAGAGAAAAGACTGGGTATGGGGGGGGTGAGGAAAGGATTAAAGATGAACGCGGTTCTCGACAACAGAAGATGGCGATTGACGTTTAAATTTTTGAAGATTGTAGTTATTAGGAAAGCGAGGAAACAGAAGGAAGTTCTGCTGTCGAGAAGTGCAGGGGAAAACATACTGTTGGAGTAGAAGTGGTATTTACATTTAGCTGCTTCAACAGCAAAATGGTGGGACCTACATGCCAATCTAGTAGCATGCTTTAAATTCATGTAGTCGGGGGCACCAGTGAAAAAAAGCTCATCAGAGTTATTGCCATGAAAATATTTGTACAAAAAACATAGGGTTCTATAGAAGAATGCTGAGAATACCATGGATCGAACATGTTAGAAAAATATAAACAAGATGGTCAATTAACATCAGGAAGAGACAATTGAGGAAAGCAGGCTTAGAAAATGTGATACACACACGGCAGATTGAAGGGAAAGTGAAGGAGAAAAACATAACCTACTTAGCGAGCTTGAGTAAATGGATGGTGAAGCAAGGTTTAGAGAGATAACAAAAGATGAAATCTGTTCAGAGCTACAAAGGACAGGAAATTGTGGAGAGCCATGATCGCCTACGTCCTGAAGGACATGGCACATAGAAGAATGAGCTTGTGTAAATGGATGGCGGTACAGGATTTAGGAGAAATAAAAAAAAAAGACAAAATTTATTACGAAGGACAGGAAGTTGTGGAGAGCGATCATCGCCAACTTTCTGAAGAAACACATACATTGAATATCGGAAGCAACACTGAGATTCGACCCCACAAATATAATCTTGGGCCGATCAAAAAGACATTTAAGAAAAAAAAGTACTGTCGGTCAATTGGTCACCTTTTTGAAAAGTGGTTCAGACCGAATACTTTTCAGAATCCACCGTATTGAAATCGATGTACTGTGAAATCATACACAGAAACCTACTCTGAACTTTCGATATGTTCGATCAGTGAACTGTATCAAAAGAGATCAAACAATTTATTTTTTGTGTTTGTCCAAATATTGAATTTTGTTTTGCGAATATAATCAAATATTCTTGCCAACTCGGAGAGTAGTTGTGAAATCTGCCAAATGTGGCGTTTTTTACTACTAAAACGGTGATTTGGCTAAGTTCAAACAGAACAAGATCTAAAATGGAACGCTGCTGTACAAATAAACTAAAACCAATGTATCAATGACCACACTCAACCTGATAAGAGCATTATTATTATTATTATTATTATTATTATTATTATTATTATTATTATTTCCTTTGATTTCTGGCGTTTACAAATCTCTTTCCAGGGACCTAAGGTTAGAAATGGCATCATCACACTTTCCACTGACAAAAAAAAAAATTACATAGATAAAACCCTTCGTAAAGTGTGGGCTGTACTTGTCAGAACAATCTTTTGTATCTCTTTGGGGCATGGACTTCCAAGAATCCCTTCAATTAGTCTACTGCAATCTTTTCCAATCAATCCTAGGGCTCCAACTACAACAGGGATTATTGATGTTCCCATGTGCCACATTTTTGAGATTTCTATTTCAACGTCCTTGTATTTTGATATCTTTTTGAATATCTTCAAAGATACATTGCGGTCAGCAGGGATTGCCATATCAATAAGGAGGCTTTTTTTTGTTTGTGGTCTTTAATAACAATGTCTGGGCGGTAGCTTTTGATTGTTCAGCCAGTATGTATTGTGTAGTCCTATAGAATTGTAACAGGTCCTATCTCCGTAACTAGGTCTGGATGGTGTTCATGCCAGTTTCCTTCCATAGAAGTTGCAGATTTTCCAGTGCAGATATTGGCCCACTATGTCATGCCGGGTTTTATACTCACTGGGTGCCAATATCGGGCAACCGGATACAAGATGATCGATTGTTTCTGGATATTTATCACAGATTATTATTATTATTATTATTATGTCAATGTTATTTATTGTCTATAGATATAGATTTTACAAGTACACAAATATGTATTTGGCAGATGAGGAAAAGATAAAATCAAAATTTGTCTCTCTCTTTCAAGAATATAGCAAAATAAAAACTTTTTTTGTTTATTTCCTATAAAATTATTTTATTTTAATTCAATTTTTATTAGAAGAAAATTACTGAAACAGTTTGAAGTAAATTTATTTTATTTATTTATATTTTTATTTCTTCTCTTTCAGAGTTAAGGTGTCATGACAGAGATAGCACAGATTCATGCAGGGGTCCATTGGGAGCCTGGCAGGGCCCCCCCAGCGATGGAAGAGGGTTTCGATAGTGGAAGTAATTCTTCCAAGCTGTTTGAGCGATCAAGAATCAAAACTCTTGCAGGTAAGTTTTTTTTTTCAGTTACACTGCCTTTATTTTTTAACCCAGGGAAATTGGCTAATTGGGGAAATATATGATAAATCCTAAGATGTCAGATGATTGATGTTATTTATTATATAGATTTTTAATACACCAATGTGTTTGGCATTTGAGGAAAAAGATGAAATCATAAATCCAACCTCTCCTATTCAGTGTCATTTCTACTGCCACCTGTACCCAGGGTAATATGCACACCGTTACACGCACCAAACAAAAACATGTCAGACCACTGAAAAAAATAAATAAAAAAATTAATAAAATTTTTTTGTTCGTCGTATTTAACGAAAATGTTTAAAAAAGTTTTGTATATATATGTTGTGAGAAAAATAAAAGCTTGTGGAAAAAGTCAAAAAATATTGTGAGAAAAAAAAACCTTGTGGGAAAAAAAATGTTGTGAGAAAAATTAAAAACCTTGTAGGGAAAAGCAAAATGTTGTGGGAAAAGGCAAAAGCTTTTGAGAAAAAACCTAATGTTGCAGAAAAACAAAAATGTTCTTGAAAATGTAAAAACGCTGTGAGGAAAGATAAACATTTTGTGAGAAAAAATACAAAAAACGTTCGAGAAAAAGCAACAAAAAGAAACTAAAAAATTCAATATCACCGAATATGTTATTCCTTTCAACAAGCTTTCACGAAATCTGATTCAACTTCCTATTTGTATTTTGACTCATTCAAGGATTACAATGATTTATGCCTTGACGTGACCTTGATAGCAATTTCACAGTTTATTCAATGTCTGACAAGAAACAAAACTTGTTCAATGTCTTACGTACAAAACATTCCTTATCATTCTTCCTTCGTTTCCTCGAAAACAGAATCTCACTATAAAAAAAACCCTTGTGCCATATCTCATATCAGTAGGAGGACGAATAAATAACAAATAATATTGGCGATAAAGCATGGGTAAAGACATAATGACGTCAACAGTTATCATTTGTTGTAACCTCATTCAAATTTCACCAGTACGCAGCACAAATAGGGATGTAGAGGACTGTGTGTTTATGTATTTGTTAAATTAGGAACACGTGCTGTTTATTCCTGGTAGAAGAAGGTCAACTACACAAGAACATGGCGGACTCAAGTTCAGTTCAACCGAAGATGTAAGAAAACAAACAAGACTGATATATATATATATA